CCTATACTTTCCGATCATGAGGAAACAATATTTTCCATGTGTGTGTTTTCCACAGGGGCAAAACTCGGTGAGATATTGGCCATTGAGCAGCTGTCAACCAAAAAGAAAAGGAAGGGGTAAAAAAATGCCCAGTATGTTCACTAATTGAACAAAATCCTATAAACAAAACTCCGGAGTTCTTATGTCCATTGACTTTGGAAGTTTTTAGATAACTTCATTCTAGCCAGCCTTGCTACTTTCACATCATTAAAATCAAACTTCTATTATAGCGTGTATTAACACATTTATACGCTCATATCATTAGCGACCTATCATTTTGCCCTATTCTGAGAGTTCACCCTTCAATCCTACACTCAACATCTCAAAGGGCGGTTAGTTATTACTGCTTCACAACATTTTTCTCTTTCAGCGTCTATTATTTCCCAGGGTAAAAATCGGATTTTAAACCAGATGAAAGTAAAGACTAGGCGAATCAGCACGTTTTCAGGACTTTGTGTAAAACGCGCAGAAACTCGGAAAGCAGACCAGCTCCAGTGAGTCCAGAAGCATCCTCACTTCGCTGACCCTAGAAGCTTCGCTGGGATTGCTGGCATTTGGTGCAGAGGTTTGGGTTTTGATGTTCCATCTCCCTGGATAAGTTTCAGCTAGAAGAGATCACTCCTTCTCCAGTGTGCTTTATGTTGATGATTTTACTTTGTTAAACTTTTAATTAATTGATTTTGTAGTCCGGGTAACACCCCAGCTACTATAGTGAAGTTACTGCTTCACTGAGCTAAAGAAAACACTCCCCGAGAAGTCCATTCATGCTTTCAGCCAATTTTACTTTGTTCCACGTTTCTGGAGAAGGGCACTTTAGAAATATTTAGGTTTCCCCCGTTTTCTTCGTCTTGGAAAGGCTTTTTTTTTTTTTTTTTTTTTTTTGCTTTTCGATTTCAGTAAAAGTTTCTGGCGGTCAAGTGTGCAGCTTGGTCAGAAATAGACCCTGGATTATAATGGCGGATTGACCTGCTCTCTTAGCTGCCTCCCAGCGGGTCAGTTGTGGCTTCGTTTGCTTCAGGGCTCTGGCAGGGGGTGAGGGCGGGGGTGAGGGTTCGCTGCTCAGGCAAAATCTCAGCAGCCTCGGACTGAGCAGACAGATGCCGATGCCGGAGACAAACTCAGTTGCTGGAGCTGCTGAGCGGCGGCGGACCTCAGGCACCAGGCGGCACGCACTGGCTATCTGGTAAGGGACAGTCCTTGGCAATCCTGGGGGCCGGGGAAGGCATTGGCAAAGCTGAACAGCCCCTGGAGCTCTCAGTCCCTGGGGACGCAGAGCCACCCAGCCTGAGGCTGCAGAGCTGAGGCTGAGGACACTAGATGCCCAGGGACCTCTGGGGGACTTTTGACAGACAGTTCCCGGGCCAATCCACTGCTTTCAGGTGCTGTAGGAAGGCTCAGCAACTCCCAGGCCCTTCCAAAGCCATGGGCTTTGTCCTCAGGATCCCTAAGTCTGGGATATACCTGTTGAGAGACAGACCCTAGTCAAGGAGCGTCAGCCTTTTGCTAGGGCGACAGGGGTAAGCCCTAGAGCGCAGGTCCCCACTGGGTTGCCGCCACTTCAACCCCTCTAACCTCCCTCTTCCTACCTACTCTAGCTTTCTGAATCAGCCCACAGCCAGGGCCAAGGTCACTGCCCAGGTCCCAGACTTCTCAGGCTGGGGCCCCTTTAGGCTGCTGTAGCCTTTGCCCAACAGAGTCTCCTTTAGGCACAGCCTGCTTGGGCAATGGCAAGCAACACTGTTTGTTCTGAGTGTCCAAACTGGCTCCTGTGTTTGAGCGGCTAATGTCCATGAACTCAGAAGACCTAAAACAACCTGATGAGACCAGTCACAAGAAGCCTCCACTTTTTGGTCCCAAACAAGTGTTGGTCCATTTTATGACCGGCAAAATGGCAGTACCTTTAGTTCAGACATCCCCTCCCCTAGCTGATAGCTCCTCAGAAAGAAGGAAAAGGGGGGATTAGCCAACTTTGAAAGGATGGGACTCCTAAAAAGCCCTCACAGTAAGTGTGTATCTATCTGGGTGGGACAGTGGGCCTTGAACTACCTCACTTTGACTTAGCACTGCCTTGGGGAATACAGAGCCCAGTGTAGACAGAAAGCCAATGGACACAAAGCATTATATCTGGCATTAAGCCCCAAGCAAAACACCTGAGATTCCCAACTCCACCTCCAGCGTCAGTTCAGGCACCTGTGCCCAGGCATCTCTCTCTCTCTCTCTCTCTCTCTCTCTCTCTCTCTCTCTCTCTCTCTCCCCCTCTGTGTGTGTGTGTGTGTGTGTGTGTGTGTGTGTGTGTGTTTTGCAGGGATGAGTCCTCCGTGGTTTTGATTTGGATTTGCAGAACCAGGTCCTCTTCTTTCCAGTCCAGAAAGTTATTGGTTCCTTCCCTATTTAATTCCCTGACCTTTCTGATGAACTTGAGGACACTATGAACTTTATTTTCCATTGTCTACTGATACAATTGGAACTTTAAAAACAACAAATGCGCTTTACCTCTTCATGACTGTTTTCTACTCCCTCATTTGAAACTCTTGTAATCTAGTGAGACTTTGCTATTTGGAAACGAAAAACCCAGCTCAGCGTTTTCGGTTTAGGAGTGAGCACAGAGCATGAATACTCAAAGTCGGGATGGATATTCCTGGGATAGCAGAAGCAGACAGGATGCACTAGGGCTTGAAAACGCTTTCCTTCCAGGGAGGCTCCCTGTCAGCATCTCCACCGGCAGCTGAGCAAGTCACTTCCGGGGCTTGTGTCTACTACCTGGGACCACGTTGTGGGGCACACACTTTACTCTTAAACTGCAGGTGGGATGTCAGCATCTTAGTCAAAGGGAACCAGTTTGGAGATTTAAAGTTTTCTTTTGCTCAGAAATTAGAAATTCTTTGGAGCATTTTTCTTTCCACCCTACATGAAAACGCTTGGATGCATCGTTTTAAGGAATTTTTCTTCCACTGAGGAATGGACGATGGAAGACTTTTTGGACTTTGGGCATTAGAATCCTGATCTCGAGGAACTGTTGATCGTTTGATTTCCTTTACAGGAAAGAAACCAGGTCAGTGTGGGAAAACATTCACCCCACATTCAGTCTGCATCCCATTGCAAAGAGCTAGGGAGAGTCTCTCTGCACATCTGCACAGACCACCATGTGTCAGTGTGCACAACCTCTATGGGTGTGAAAACTCCAGACCTGGGGGTACTCCCTGCTAAGGCCTGACTTTCACTTGTAGGAAATGAAGCCTTTTCTTCCAGGTTTTCCTGGTGACCTCAAGGCAAGCAAGTCTGCCTGGGATTCTAGTGTTGAAGTCAGTCCCTCACTTTCTACAGACACTACTGTTTTAACCTAGCTTTTGTTCCTAGCATTTCTGAGCCTGGATGGATGAGTGCCCAGCTGCTTCAAGGAGCCACCACTGCCCATGACTCCATTCTTTCTAGAGATTTCTGTATCCCTGCCTCCAGTACAGCAGAGCAACTTTTGGTTGTCAAAACAGCAAAGAGGAATGGGGGACGGGGGAGTCTGCGCCCATTTATGCACTCACTTGCAGCAAATGCTACAAACTCCAGGCTCCCTGTTTATTCTCAGTTGTGGTTGCTTTGTACCAGTTCCTGTGGTTACACAGACACACAGCCTCTCTCTCTCTCTCTCTCTCTCTCTCTCTCTCTCTCTCTCTCTCTCACACACACACACACACACACACACACACACAGGGTCACTTTTTATTCTACCCGCAAACCCTGCTCTGCTCACCCCAGCCCACTGTCACTGGGTGGCTCCGGGTGGTCTCCTGCTCAGAGTTCTAGCCCTCACCCCACCCCAGTACACACAGTGGAAAGGGAGGCAGAGACTGCTGGCTACCCTAACAGCGTCTGTCTGTGCAAGCAGGGGGATCCAGGAAAGCGTGAACCCAAAAGATCTGCCTTGAGATCTTAGAATCATTCCACCCCCATCTGTCTCCTGGTTCTCTGCACTCCCTCTCCTCCCTAAGTTTGCCTTCGTGGTTGATTTCCATGTAACCTTGGGAGTTTTGTTCCCCCTCCCCTCCTTCTATAGCAAAATGTACAAAACAGAAATTCTTTCAATTGTTTTTTTTTAAACGTAAAAGAAGAAATAAACAGTGAGAGGTTTCTCCCTCACAACTGTATCGGGGCAAAAACCCACTGCCAAATAGGCGCATGTCTGGGAAATAGCACCAGAAAGGCCAATAAACAAAATTAACCGACTATTGGTGTGTAGAGGGGGAGCAACAAGGAAGAAAACCCCGGCAGTGAAACCTCTAGCTCTCAGCCCCCCTTGATTGATCCTGCCCTGCTTTGGCTCCTCTGCGCCTTGAATCTTTCTATTGAGACCTGTTTCTACCCACATTTTCCTAAACTAGGGAACAACTCAAATTCTCTCTTCAAATTAAGACAAAAACAAACAAACAAACAAAACAATCTTACGGTCAACTTCTGTTCCTGTCCTTCACTTTAATTGCAAAATTTGGCTAGAGAAAATGGAGTAAAGGGATGGGATGGAGGAAAAAAAAAAAAAAACTACAACAAAAACAAGAAATCCAGAGCAGTAGCGGTGAGTGTGTCACTCAAAGGGTTTTGTGCCTGGGGGCTCCTTGCGGTTCCAAGCAGAGGTGTCCCTGGGCGGCCCCACAATGAATATGAATAGGAATCCTTGCTAAATGGGACAGCAAAGCGCACCGCCCTGAATGATGGCACGTCATCTTAACCAGCCCAGGATAGATAGGAGGGCTCCTTTTGTCTCTTTTCTCCGCTGCAGCTCTATAAAAGCCCCTCTTTTGCTGCAAGAGGTTAGTTAGTTCAGGCACACCAACCAGCAGTGCGGGGAACAGCTAAACCCAAGAGAGATAGCAAGGGGAGCAGGGAGGGAGAGAGGCGGGGCAAGGCAATACCCAGGCTGCTCTTCCATCTCACAGCTGTGAAGTGGGTTGCTGGACTTCTGATTTTTTTTTTTAAGTCAAGATTCCCTTTAATTTCCCGCCTAAAGCCTCCTCAACCATAAGGCCGCATCTTCTTTAATAAAATGAATTCTGATTCGAGCTCTGTCTCCAGCAGAGCGTCATCTCCGGACATGGATGAGATGTACCTAAGAGACCACCACCACCGCCACCATCACCACCACCAGGAGAGCCGTCTCAACTCGGTCTCATCCACACAGGGCGATATGGTGCAGAAGATGCCTGGGGAAAGCCTCTCGCGAGCGGGCGCCAAGGCCGCCGGAGAAAGCAGCAAGTACAAAATCAAGAAGCAGCTGTCGGAACAGGATCTTCAGCAGTTGCGGCTGAAGATCAACGGACGTGAGCGAAAGAGGATGCACGACCTGAACCTCGCCATGGACGGTCTGCGCGAGGTCATGCCCTATGCGCACGGGCCCTCGGTGCGCAAGCTATCCAAGATCGCCACTCTGCTGCTAGCTAGAAACTACATCCTCATGCTCACCAGCTCTCTGGAGGAGATGAAGAGGTTGGTTGGCGAGATATACGGAGGCCACCATTCGGCCTTCCACTGTGGGACCGTGGGACACTCGGCGGGCCACCCGGCACACGCAGCGAACACCGTGCACCCGGTACACCCCATCCTGAGCGGCGCGCTCTCGTCCGGCAATGCCACGTCCCCGCTGTCCGCCGCCTCCCTGCCGGCCATTGGCACCATCCGACCTCCCCACTCGCTGCTCAAGGCGCCCTCCACGCCGCCCGCGCTGCAGCTGGGCAGTGGCTTCCAGCACTGGGCGGGGCTGCCCTGCCCTTGCACCATCTGCCAGATGCCACCGCCCCCGCACCTGTCTGCCCTTTCCACTGCCAGCATGGCCCGGCTGTCTGCCGAGTCCAAGGACTTGCTCAAGTGAGCCGCAGGCCTGCCCGGCCAGGAGGAGGAAGGGAGAGTTGAGGCAGGGGTCGCGGTGCCGGGCCTGGAGGGAAGGGGAGACTGCTCGGCCTGCGGGAGGGTGGGCTCATGGCTCCTGGGCCTCGCCGGCGGCCCCAGATATATAGATCCTACTTGCCCCACCCCAGCTGGCTTACCAAAACCAAACTGGGATATCTAGGTGTTAGCGAATGGGGACTGGAACCCGACGTCGTGTTTTGCATGCATGCTTCTTTTCCTCATGCAGCGCCAGTATTTTTCACTGCCATATGCTCTTGTCAAAACTGCATTTGTTGTTTAAAAACGGGATCGGTGGAGTTAAAAACTTGCGAAGGAACTTGGAGTTGGCTTTCTCTGGCTGTGTTCTTATCTTGGACGAGGGGCGGCCATCCCTTTTGTGCAAAGCAAATGTAAATATTTCATCGAGATAGATGCAGTTATGATTGTCCTTAAAGTTTTCTTTGAGAGAGCGAGAGAGAGACAGAGACAGACAGAGAGAGAGAGAGAGAGAGAGAGAGAGAGAGAGAGAGAGAGAGAGAGAGTCAGAATTCAAGTTTTGAATCTCAGCTTCCACCCAGGGCATGAACCTCCTATGTGGGTTTTCTTTTCCACGCAGTATAGGTCAAAAGAATGCATGCACGCTTCTAAATGAATCTTGTCTAAACATGTTGTGCAGGCCTAGTGCCGTTTTCCTTGTAACAAGGATTTACTAGTGAATTCTCCAAAGTACTCCCGTACATCTGTCTGTGGTTGTGTGAAATGAAAAGGGGGGAGAGTACAAGACTCATGCTCAATACACACGTACTTCTTTCCCCAAGCCCAAGTCTGACCCTCTCCTTCAAATTTCATTACAACCTTAGGGCTGTTCCAAGGGACCGGAGGCTAGAAAACAGGGCCCCCTCTAGTAGCTCACCCCACCCCCTTGCCAAATTATCTGCATGCGGGGTTGGCTCTGTCTGTTGTTCTTCTGCTTTAAAAAACTTTGTGTTTTCGGGAGGGCTGCCATTTTTATTTTCCTGAACATTTGCTTGAAATATTTTGTTAGGGCTTCAAAGACAATACCTGTCTTTATTTTTTATATATTCTTGATAACTATGATATATTTATTAATAACCAGTGTTCCTGGATGAGATTTCAAATAAAAAAGAACCTTTAAATCCAATTTTTTTGCCTTTGTTTAAAATTTTAATCAATAACAGTTGTGGGATAAGAAACATGTGAGCCCAGTAAAGGGTGTCTGGGTGTGGGTGAAGGATTTTCATGGCAGATTTTTCTTTGGCCATTCGCAGGCAAGTAAAGAGAACGGATAACTTTGGTGTTACCTATTGGACTTAAATGTCCTTCAAATGGAGCATTGTATGTATATGCCTCCCATTCCTTTCCTATTTGAGCTCCTTGTTTCTCTGCAGTAGTCAGAACCTCACAGAATTAAAGTCAAACACTCAAGGTGGCAGGACCTGAGATGCTGCACGAAGATGGTTCCTGCCAGCAGACAAGAAAGAATGAACCAGAAAGTAAAGTTCGCCTTGTTTTAAAATGACCTCTGTGGTCTTTTTATTCCATGTGTGACAATCCAGTAGGTTTGAAAAGTTAACAAAGTCAACCAGCCTGCCTGCCAGGAAGAGAAAGGAAACTCCCTCTGCTTTGTAAAAGGAGCCTTGGATTGAGGCAAATGACCGCCCACCCCGCCTGGGCCTTGAGACCCAAGGCTTCCTAGTAAGCATCCATCCTTGCCCTCCGTTCCTCAGAAGATTGCTGCCCTGATCAGGGGCGTGCGCCAGGGCGCCTTGAGTTTAAACACGGGCGAACGCGAGGGCAACCCATCAATTTCATCTTGCTTTTCACTCCCACCTCCCATATCTTCAGTGGAAACACGCAAAATACTTTTTGAATAAACAAAAGTTTTGCTGCTTTCTTGAAAGAAGAAACCAACCAAGCTCTGGTGATAGCGCAACTGCAGTGTGGGGCCCAGGCTCTCTGCTGTTCCAGAAAAAAGCAAACCTTTGTGTGAGCGGATGTAATACCACCTCCCAGGCTGCAAGGTCCCTTCCCAGCATCCGGGCAGAAGAGTGAAGTTAGGAAGCCCTTCCCCTCCCCCCTTTCCCTCCCGCGGCTAGGTCTGGGATGCCTCCCTAAACCCCCACTCTAGGTGAGTCACCTCTACCCACCTGCTCTCCTGTCTCCATGGACCACACAGGCCTTAGAGAGGAGTACCAAAGTAGAGTCCACCAGGGAGGCAGCTTTCTCTTTGGCTTATAGTCAGACAAATGGCAGAATAATCGTCTGCTTCCCAAGTGTGATTCATTTCTCTGAGCGAGGAAAGAGCCTGTTGAGGATTTATTTGAAACCAACACAAGGCAGCCCTCCAGCCTATCCAGGAGTTTATTATTCAAAAAGGGGAGGGGAGGGATGGCTTCATCAATCAGGAAACTGACTCACTCTTCTGCCTCTTGCCTCTGTTGAGTTCTCTGTCCACAAGTTCAGCCCTGGGGAAGATCCCCTTAGGCTCCCATCTGGTTCAGGCTGGGCTTCTAGCATCCAGACTTGAGTACAGGATGGAGTGGAATAACTGTATTCATAAAATCAAGTCTCTCTCTCTCTCTCTCTCTCTCTCTCTCTCTCTCTCTCTCTCTCTCTCTCTCTCTCTCTGTGTGTGTGTGTGTGTGTGTGTGTGCGTGTGTTCTCTCTCTCTCTCTCTCTCTCTCTCTCTCTCTCTCTCTCTCTGTGTGTGAGTGTGTGTGTGTGTGTGTGTATGCTGGCTGTTGCCCCCAGCTTTCCTAGTTGCTTTCAATGATCCAGTTAATGGGCTGTAAGTTCCCCTCTCCTGGGAGACCTGAGGCAAAGGGAATCTGAAATGCGGGATTCTACCTTCCTTCAGATGTTCACTGGAGGAGAATAGACAATCTTCCTGACCAAAATACAGGAGAACTTACAAACATCCCAAGATCTTTTCCTGGCCCGAAGAACTTTCTACAGTAGTCCAGGGAACATGGCTATCTTAAAACAGAGCAGGGACAGACCTAAAGGCCATTTGGGAGTCAGGTTTCTGGATTTATTGAAAAGAGGGGACATGTCACTAGGAGCTACTTGGGAATTGGGAAGAGTTGGGTGTGTGTGGTGCCTGGCTCGTCCCCTGGGTGTGAGCGTACAGACTAACCTTTGCTTGCAATCTCTGTTTTTTTTTTCCTTGTTAAGGTTTCAAATCACTCACATTACACTGAGAGGAAGGCAAATAGTTCTTGCACCGGGGCTGTTTCAGTCATAAATTCATAACTTCTCCAGAGGTTCACAAGTTTAAAGTACTTTTAAATTCAGCCTAGAAACACAACTAGGAGGCTTCTACTCTCGACTGGAAGTTGCTTTCCACTAGGTGGAATAAAACCACCTAGAAACTCGTGGAGCTTCCCATTGATTGTGAACTTCAACAGAAAGTCTCTCTCTCTCTCCCTCCCTCTCTCTCTCTCTCTCTCTCTCTCTCTCTCTCTCTCTCTCTCTCTCACACACACACACACACACACACACACACACCACTTAGTCATGGCCTGTACCAGACCTTTGTTCTCAGGGAGATCCACTCTCTTACTCTTCCTTCTCCCTCAGCTCACAGCCTTGGCCTTACCTCCGGCAAAAGGGGGCAGACTGGGCTGGAGAAGCCCAAGGTTTCCCGGCTGAGTTGCAAGGACTGGAACCCCCTGCCTCCTCCATTTGCCCCCTCTTCCGGGTCCAGCTAAGTGCTGTCACCTCTCTGGTGCACTTAGGACACCATGCAAACAATGCAAAGTCTTCTGCACACAGAAGGTGGGTTCTAGGAACACTAACTCAGACACAGAGAAGTTTCTGTGCCTTCCAGGTCCCAAGCAGAAACTTGAATTCCTCTTTCTGTCTGCCCTGGGACATGGCCCCAACTGCCCCTTAAATTCTCACTTTCAGACTGAGCTGGAAGCTCAGAGGCCTTCCAGCGACATTTGCATCCTCGTCTCTGCTGCTACTGAGTACCCCAAACTGGCCTGAGGAGCCCAACAGGCTAGTCTCCTTTATCCAGGAAAAACTCCCCACAGAAGTTCAGCCTTGCCTCTTGGGGGTCTCTCGAGGACTGTGAGCCCTTATCCTCTTGTCTGGCTCTTGACCTGCCTTTGCCTCAGTCTTAAGTCTACTGGACGGTCACCTCCCCCTGAAAGGAAAATGCAAAGAGAAAGCATGTGGTCCAGGCACCCCGGTGGTCCTAGGCTTGGAACTTTGCTGGGCATCCACTCACTAGGTTTAGGAGGAAGGAAAGTGGGGAGATGCAGAGCTGGACAGAGGGACAGAATGGAAGGAGAGAAAGGAGAGGAGAAGAGGGGGAAGGCTCTAGGGATGCCCTCTAGAAGACCTGTGCTCAAGGAGGGGCCCTTGGTGGGGGCTTCTCCTCTCCTGCGAGCATCTACAAGTGCTTGGAGACCCTCCCTTGTCTCCCCAAGCCACAACCTTGGTGCCCAGCTCTGGCAAGTTCCTAGATGTGGAGCTGCTTTGTCTTTGAGGGTGCATTTGTTTGTTTGTTTGTTGTGTTGTGTTGTGTTAGTGGGACCTTCTCCAGGACACAGAGGCCTCAGGAGTGCACAGGATCCTCGAGAGGGTAGGTTCTGGAGGTACAGGTAGAATCATGCTGACTGGCTATCCCAGTCTCTGGGAGCTTCTTCTGCTCCCAGAAGATTGGGGCTGGCTCCTGCGGGAAGAGTCAGCCTGAACACCCCTATTCCAGGCTTTCATTCTCATACCTGGCCCCACAGACAGGTGGGACTCTGATGCTAAGATGATCCTCCAGTGAAGACTGCATCACCCCTTCACAGAACCTGACAACCCTTAAGCATTTATGGAAATGGGAGCTGGGGAGTGAGCACACCCGCGAGGGACAAATCCCTACTTCACTAAGAGAGGACCCCCCCCCAGTAAACTCAGGCCCTGGCTGACACTCAAATGTTTGTAAATCTGGCCAAGGATATCCGGTTAGGACCTGCCCAGGTGATCCCAGGCCAGTGTGCTTTCTTCCCTTGAACCAACCCTCCATCTCAGTAGTGAACCCTT